CAAAGGGGCTCCTAAGACCATCAGAAATATATGTTTTCTGAAGGTCTTTGGTGAAACCTCTGAAACCCCCTCCCGACCTCCAGGTTGAGAAACACTGTTCCAAAGGAAGCAAAATCCATTCTACTTGGCTCCAGAAAGCTGGGCTTTAACACAACAGGTTAATCACCAGCTGCAGTAAATCTTGCCAAGTGAAAGGTTGACAGTTTGAAGCCCGGGTCAGGGTGGGCTGGAGGGTTCCTTTAGCCCAGCTTCTGCTTACCTAGCAGTTCAAAAGCAAAATGTGAGTAGATAAATAGGTATAGCTTAAAAGAGGGGAGGTATTTAAGGCACCCATAAGAAAATGACAGAAAATGCCAGCAATTTGATAAAGGAGGAAGTTTATGAACAAAGCTCTTCAGCAGGTAAGACAGCACCCCCCCCTCCCCCTCCCCCCGGCCCGGTAGTGGTACTGAGCATAAGCTTCCAAGATGGGAAAGGCTATAAATACCTCTATTTCTCATGTCCTTGCAGACGGCCAATTCTCTCACACCAGAAGCAACTTGCAGCTTCTCAAGTTGCTCCTGACATGAAAAAAAAATATCTTTATCTATGTACAGTTTGATGTATATGTGTCTGTGATCTGCCCTGAGTCCCCTTCTGGGTGAAAAGGGAAAAGGGCAGAATATAAATACTGTAAATTACTAAATAAAATAAATTATTCTAGTGAGTGCAGAATAATGGAAGGTCCCATAACAGCCTTGAGATGTGCATATACAATTCAAAGTGCTGGTGCTGACCTATAAATCCCTAAACGACTCCGGCCCAGTTTACCTGTCTGAACGGATTCTCCCCTATGAACCATCAAGGTTGTTAAGATCTTCTGGAGGGGCCCTGCTCTCAGTCCCACCACCTTCGCAATCGCATCTGATGGGGACGAGGGACAGGGCCTTCTCAGTGGTGGCCCCTCGGCTCTGGAAGTCTCCCCTGTTGGAGATTAGATCTGCCCCTTCACTCCTGACTTTCAGAAAGCTGGTAAAATCTTGGCTTTGGAATATAGCATTTACAGAATGATGATCGAGTCAATAACTGCTGACCACACTGGCGGATGTTGATGAATTTGTGATTTTACTTTGACGACCTTGCTTTTGTAATTGTATGATCTGTATTTTAATGTATTTTATGTATTAATGTACTACGATGCTATTTGTTTATCCTCTTTGTGTATGAATTTTCTGCTGTTAGCCAGCCTGAGTCCCTCTTCGGAGGTCGAGAAGACCGGGTTATAAAAGCTCTAAATAAATAAATAAATACCACAGGGAGGTATGGATCCCATGTAATTCCCTGGGATAATAATCTTTTTCTACCAGTTGTGAATGCATTGGCCTCAGTGCCACGTGACATGGAAATCAATTGCTCTCCTGCCAAGGCAAAAGAAAGGGAGCAACCCAGCGTCCCAGGTTTTGCACGTTCAGTGATATTTGTGTTCGCTGGGAGGTTTGTTTGGTGACCAAATGACAAGGATACATTTATGAGGATGTCTAAGACAAAAGCAAGCAGTTTTTGGCAGCAAGAGTGGGGAGGGAAAGGAAATGAAGTCCAGCACTGGACTGGAGCAGAAAAGGAAATGTTTGTTTATTGGGCAAGGAAGAGTCATAAAAGCAGGCCTTGCATTCTGGTGAAAATGCACATGGAACCAAGTGTTACGTTTGCACCCTTTGCTGGGTCTCAAATATGATCGATTCAGGGTTTGAATAACAAGTCCCAGGGATTCCAGGTAGCTGAGGCAATATTGGGTCATGGATTTGGGGACCTGATGTTCAAAATGGGAGGGGGGTCAAAGTTGGAGAATCACTGCTTTAGAACATAGATGACAAACAAACAGATGTCAACTGTCAAGCTCCATCAATTGTTCCAGTACTACACTGGTGAAGGATGCTGGGAAACTACATTTCCCAGAATTCTGCTCAGCATCAGAAATCCCCAATTAGGAGAGAGAAAGATGTGTCCCTTCATTGCAGCATCCAGGCAGAGTTCTGATGAATGGTTGAATTTGCAAAAAGGACGACTGACGGAGACGACTAGTAAGCAAATCTCTGTGCCGGGCTGGGAAGAAATCACTCAATGGAAGTTGTATCGGTTTTTAAATCCTTGTGTGTTATTGTTTATATGTGATTTATATTAATTGTATTTTAATGTATTGTCGAAGGCTTTCATGGCTGGAATCACTAGGTTCTTGTAGGTTTTTTCGGGCTATAGGGCCATGTTCTGGAGGCAATTTTTCTCCTGACGTTTCGCCTGCATCTATGGCAAGCATCCTCAGAGGTAGTGAGGTCTGTTGGAAATAGGAAAATGGGTTTATATATCTGTGGAATGACTGGGGTGGGGCAAAGAGCTCTCTGCTGAAGCTAGGTGTGAATGTTTCAGCTGACCACCCTCATTAGCATTTGAAGGCCTGGCTGAGCCTGGGAAAATCTTTTGTTGAGAGGTGTTAAGATGTGCCTGGACACAGCATATTATTTGAGAACACAGAAATGCTGGACCACACCAACAACCACCATGTCAGACTACACAGAGAAGCCATTGAAATCCACAAGCATGTGGACAATTTCAACAGAAAGGAAGAGACCATGAAAATGAAAAAATCTGGCTACCAGTATTAAAAAACTCTAAAATTACAACAGCAAAACAGCAGAGAGGAAACAACCAGGCACATCTTAACACCTCTCAACAGAACATTTTCCCAGGCTCAGCCAGGCCTTCAAATGCTAATGAAGGTGGTCAGCTGAAACATTCACACCTAGCTTCAGCAGAGAGCTCTTTGCCCCACCCCAGTCATTCCACAGATATATAAACCCATTTTCCTATTTCCAACAGACCTCACTACCTCTGAGGATGCTTGCCATAGATGCAGGCGAAACGTCAGGAGAAATGCCTCTAGAACATGGCCCTATAGCCCGAAAAAACCTACAAGAACTTAATTGTATTTTTTTTTTTTGCTTATTGCTTTTCTGTTTTATTGATGTGTTGTCGGGCTTGGCCTCATGTAAGCCGCTCCGAGTCCCTTGGGGAGATGGTGGCAGGGTATAAATAAAGTTTTATTATTCTTATTCTTATTGGTTAATACAAGAGAGAGAGATTCAATGGGATGGCTGGTGTGGCTTAAAAAATGTTTTTGTCAAAAGTTTTTTTTAAAAAAATCCCTAAAATCAGTAGATGTATGAATATTTTTGAAAGTTGGTTGGAATGATCCCCTGTTATCTTGTGCCATTGTATAGAAAACTCAAGGAGACCACTCTTGTAGTGTTTTTTAAATGGTGTTTTTAAAAATTTTGGAAATTCCCCAAAATTCTGTGGATGAGTGGAACATTGTGAAACTTGATGGGCTGACAGTGGTAAATGTGTTCTACCTTTGTAGGAAGTTTCACACCAATAGCTAACAATAAGGGAGAAAACAGCCCCTGAAGTTTCCTTATTGGCGCAATTAATTACATAGGGTGGCAATCTGTGCTGAATGGGGTTGCACTCCCCCTGAAGTCACAGGTCCACAGCTTGGGTGTCCTCTTGGACTCATCACTTACGCTTGAAGCTCAGGTGGTGGCCGGGAGGGCCTTTGCACAATTAAAACTCGTGCGCCAGCTGTGACTGTACCTCGTGAAGTCAGATCTGGCAAGGGTGGTCCATGCCTTAGTCACCTCCAGATTGGATTACTTACAGGGAGCAGTTAACCCCCCTGTTTAAGGAACTCCACTGGCTGCCGTTCATTTTCCAGTCCCAATTCAAGGTGCAGGTTCTTACCTACAAAGCCCTGATGCGTGACTGCATTTCTGTGTACAAACCCACACAATCTCTTTGGTCATCTGGAGAGGCCCTGCTCTCGCTCCCGCTCCCTTTGCAGGCGTGATTGGTAGGGACGAGGGAGAGGGCCTTCTCGGTGGTGGCCCCCCCAACTCTGGGACTCACTTCCCAAGGACATCAGCAGTCTTTAGGAGGAGCCTGAAAATGTGGCTGTTCCAGTGTGCCTTCCTAGAATAAGGAAAATTCCTAGCAATATGTCCTCAGAATGCACTTTACTATTGGATCAGGTTGGACTGCCTTCCCTCATTTCTTTTAAAACCCTATACCAGATACCTTGTTCATGCCCAGCATTTATTTTTTAAATTTTTAAAATATTACATTTGGCCTGGCCATAGGTTTTTAAATCCTTGTGTTATTGTTTATTGGTTATTGTTTATATGTGATTTATATTAATTGTATTGTATTTGTTTATTGCTTTCTTGTTTTATTGATGTGTTGTTGGGCTTGGCCTCATGTAAGCCGCTCCGAGTCCCTTGGGGAGATGGTGGCGGGGTATAAATAAAGTTTTATTATTATTATTATTATTATTATTATTATTATTATTTGATTGTGCTTTTCCTGCATGGCAGGGGGTTGGACTAGATGGCCCATGTCAGGCCCGTAGCCAGGATTTCGTTTCGGGGGGGGGGGGGGGGAAAAATTTCAGGGGGGGTTTCGGGGGGGGGGTGGAGTTTCGGGGGGGCTGAGTCTGAGTGAAAGAGGGTCTACCTAGCAAACCTTTTGTATCATTACCCCAATACCCCCATGGATATGGGATATATTGAGTATGGTGATCAGATCATGATATGAATAAACATAACAGTTTAAATAATGCACCAGTAAGGCCTTTTCGCGAACCACCATGAGAATTTCGGGGGGAGGGGGGCTGAAGCCCCCCACCCCCCCCCCCCCCCCCCCGGCTACATGCCTGGCCCATGTGGTCTCTTCCAACTCTATAACGCTTAAGATCTACAAGTCAAACTCTTTGGTTCAATGGATCCAGTGGAGACATGTAGCTGATGTTAGGATGGAGACGCCAGCTTCCCAAATGCGCCCAGAGGCAAGCGGTGCCATTCAGGAGGACCTGCCCCAGTGAAAACCCTTCACCTTCCCCTTCTCCTCCTCCTGTTCTCTCTCTCACACCCAAAAAGCTCCGCCTTCAGCCCCTCCCCTCCCAGAGGAAACCACTGGCTTCCCGGAGAGAGGAGACATATCCGAAAAGGGAAGGCGAGAAGACAAGATCTGGCGCCCGGCAGGTAAACATAGAGATGTCCTCCAGCCGGTTTGTAGTATTTTTAATATAGAAACGGGGGTGCTGCTACTCTTTTGGGGAACCCTTCTCCCTTTCCTCAGTGCCTGGGGATGAGGATCTTTCTGGGGAGACAGAGAAGAGCCAGGGGAGAGACTGAAGTGACTAAGGAGAGCTTGGAGCGCTGCGTAAAAGCGCACTGGCTTTTTGGAGAGAGTTTGGGGAGCTCTTTTACAACGCCCAGCATCCCTGATGGTTGGGAGTTGCAGTGCAAAGGGAGGCTCTGGTTAGGGTGTGGGGGCAGGTCTTCTTTCTCAAGGCTTGGGCCAAAGGAGAAAGAGGGTCTACCTGTTTCTCGAGTTTTGTTTGGGGTTCTGAACACAGAGCCGCACTTCCTGCTGCCTGCCTTGCTTTGTGGTCCAGGGGTTGTGCAACAGAGGGAGGCACTTTTCATTCTGTACAAATGGTGTCAAAAGTAGCTTGGATTACAACCTGAGAGGAGTAGAATCAAGCCTTGGAAGGAAGGCGAACAGAATCCTGATTTGGACCTCTGCAGAACTTTGAAAAGTTTTGATCTTGGAAGGAGAGAGAACAACATTTTAGGATTATTGTGAGTTTTCCCAGGTTGTCTGGCCATATTGAGAAGCATTCTCTCCTGATGTTTCTCTCCAGACATCCACAGAGGTTGTGAGGTCTGTTGGAAACTAGGAAAATTGGGTTTATATATATGTGGAATGATGTCCAGGGTGGGAGAAAGAACTCTTGTCTGTCTGAGGCATGTGAGTGTTGCCATTGGCCACCTTGATTACCATTGAATAGGTCTGCCCGTGCAAAGCAGGTGAGCATAGCATTGAATGAAACATGCAGAATAATCACAGGATGTCTTAAACCTACACCTGTTGATAAACTACAAGCTAGCTGGCATTACCCTCTGTGATGTGTGACGTGATGTGTGACATGTCTGGGGAGACAGAGAAGAGCCAGGAGAGAGATTAAAGTGACTAAGGAGAGCTTGGAGTGCTACGTAAAAGCGCACGGAGTGCACGGCTTTTTGGAGAGAGTTTGGGGAGCTCTTTAACAAATCGCGGATTGGTTTCAACTCCCAGCATCCCTGATGGTTGAGAGTTGCAGTCCAAAGGGAGGCTCTGGTTAGGGTGTGGGGGCAAGTCTTCTTTCTCAAGGCTTGGTCCAGAGCGTGGGCCAAAGGAGAAAGAGGGTCTACCTGTTTCTCGAGTTTTGTTTGGGGTTCTGAACACAGAGCCGCACTTCCTGCTGCCTGCCTTGCTTTGTGGTCCAGGGGTTGTGCAACAGAGGGAGGCACTTTTCATTCTGTACAAATGGTGTCAAAAGTAGCTTGGGTTACAACCTGATAGGAGCAGGATCAAGCCTTGGAAGGGAGGCGAACAGAATCCTGATTTGGACCTCTGCAGAACTTGGAAAAGTTTTGATCTTGGAAGGAGAGAGAACAACATTTTAGGATTATTGTGAGTTTTCCTGGGTTGTCTGGCCATATTCAAGAAGCATTCTCTCCTGATATTTCACCCACATCTAGGGCAGACATCCTCAGAGGTTGTGAGGTCTGTTGGAAACTAGGAAAATTTGGTTTATATATATGTGGAATGACGTCCAGGGTGTTTGTCTGAGGCAAGTGTGAATGTTGCCATTGGCCACCTTGATTAGCATTGAATAGGTCTGCCCATGCAAAGCAGGTGAGCATAGCATTGAATGAAACATGCAGAATAATCACAGGATGTCTTAAACCTACACCTGTTGATAAACTACAAGCTAGCTGGCATTGCCCCCCATGATGTGCGACATGAAGTTGCTGCTAAAAGTGAGAGAAATAAGGTTGAACACTGTGAAAGCCATCTACTACATGGCTACCAGCCTCCTCCTAGTAGACTCAAATCAAGGAAAAGCTTTATGACAACTACCACTCCTCTTGGCATCCCCCCAGCAACAGCAAGGGTCTCCCTCTGGGCAGCTAGACCAGGAAATCCCAACTGGATGCCCCCCCCCCCCATGAGGGTCTTCCTCCAGGGTCTTCCTCCATTCTTCCACCAAGAATGGGCAACTTGAAAGTCACTGAACAGACTCAGAAGTGGAGTGGGCAAATCAAAAGACAACCTGGCAAAATGGCACTAACTAAAAGAATCCCACACTTTATGTTACTGTGGAGCAGAACAGACAACTCCACATCTGTATGCTTGTCCACGATGCCCTGCCTCAGGTACAAAGGAAGAATTGTTGGAGGCTACAGACAATGCCATTGCTGTTGCCCGTTTTTGGTCATAAGATATTTAGCCACCTGCACTCCTTCTATTTTTATTGGTTTTATACTAATTTATGCAATGCTTTTGATAAGAAATAAATAAATTAGTATTGAATGGCCTTGCAGCCTCAAAGCCTGGCTGATTTTTACTTTTTTGGAAGGTGTTAGCTGGTCCCGATTGTTTCATTGTATAAATATTAAGTTGTTCTATGACTAAATCAATTCTAACACTGATTTACACAATGCATATAATATATACAGTAAGATTATTATTGTATCAATATCATGGGCAAAATACATATACACATCAAATTATTCAATCAAGAAAAACATCCATAATAAACATTAAACAAAAAGTTCTCATTCATAAAATGTTGTGAGTTCTCAACATTTCCTCATTATAATTTCCTTGGAATGTTATTAAACAAAAGTTCAGATTATGTTTCTTCTGTAAAATGTTAAGCAATTATATTTCAGTCCCATGTAGACAGACGTTGTTGTAGGAGTTCGTGACAAATATGTGATGATAGCAACTGTAGAAATTCTTTTGATGTATGTGATGATAGCAACTACAAGGGTTCCCTGTATTATTAACCTTGTTTCAGGAAAACTTCCCTTCCCCAGGTTGCCACTTCATCAATTTAAGTTGATATCTTCAAAGGAATTTACAAACTAGACTCGAAAGGACACCAAAAATAGATATGCTATAATAGCACCCAGTTACAGTAACAATAATCATTGTGTGGAATTAAAACACTTACTTTCTCCCCAAGGAGTAAACGGCTTTGCTCAAGGACTTTCAATAGCTGTAATGATTCTTTCATGTCAGGAATTCTCCTGCTTTTAGTGTTGCTCTCCATATACTGTCCTGATTTTAGAGTTTTTAATACTGAGAACCAGATTTTGTTCCTTTTCATGGTTTCCTCCTTTCTGTTGAAACTGTCCACATACTTATGGATTTCAGTAGCTTCTCTGTGTAGCCTGACATGGTGGTTGTGAGAGTGGTCCAGCGTTTCTGTGTTGTCAGATAATATGCTGGGCCCAGCTGGGTTCATCAGGTGCTCTGCTATGGCTGACTTCTCATGCTGAATCAGTCATAAAATCATAAATCAGAATCGTGGAGTTAGAAGAGACCTCATGGGATAGTTTGCACGCATTTGCAGAATGAGACTTGAGGATGAAAACTGAAAAAAGGCAATTCAATGCTTCTTTGGACTCAGACCAATGGGTTCAAAAGACAAGAAAAGAGATTCCACCTCAACATTAGGAAGAACATTCTCGCCATAAGAAGAGCTGTTCAGCAGCGGAACTCTCTACCTCGGAGTCATAGAATCATAGAGTTCGAAGAGACCTCATGGGCCATCCAGTCCAACCCGCTGACAAGAAGCAGGAAAATTGCATTCAAAGCACCCCCGACAGATGGCCATCCAGCCTCTGTTTAAAAGCTTCCAAAGAAGGAGCCTCCACCACACTCCAAGGCAGAGAGTTCCACCGCTGAACAGCTCTCACAGTCAGGAAGTTCTTCCTAATATTCAGATGGAATCTCCACAGTGACTTTCATGTTCCTTGATTCGTGTTTGGGCAATGTTGCTGCATTTGGTGGTCCCTATATAGATTTGTTGTAGTAGTTTCCAACAGACCTCACAACCTCTGAGGATTTTTTTTTGTCATGTCAGGAGCAACTTGAGAAACTGCAAGTCGCTTCTGGTGTGAGAGAATTGGCCATCTGCAAGGATGCTGCCCAGGGGACGCCTGGATGATTTGATGTTTTTATCATCCTTGTGGGACGCTTCTCTCATGTCCCTGCATGAGGAGCTGGAGCTGATAGAGGGAGCTCATCCACCTCTCCCCGGATTCGAACCTGCGACCTGTAGGTCTTCAGTCCTGCCGGCACAGGGGTTTAACCCACTGCGCCATCGGGGGCTCTTTGTTGCTGAGAGCCACAGAAACCGGGGGCACCACCTCTGAGGATGCCTGCCATAGATGTGGGTGAAACATCAGGAGAGAATGCTCCTGGAACATGGCCAGACAGCCCAGAAAACTCATAGCAACCCATTAAAGCCTTTGACAAGACAACAACATCTCAATTTCGGGTTCTCCAGAAAGTGTAGAACTATTGACCTGCAGTGCTTAGATATTTTGGAACTACAACACCGGTAAAGCAGGGGATTCTTTTTTATGTAAGAAGGATATTATTTAGCTTTACACTCCTTTGTGCAAACAGACACCAAATTGCCACAAATCTCCTCCTCGAATCCCGATAAACAGAGTGAACTTTTGACATTTAAACAACGTCAAGCCACAACCAAGTTATACAAAAACAGAGAAAGTAACATACATGTTTGCACAACTAACAGAAGACAAAAGATTAAAGTTAGATACATTGAAACCACTACACGCTACACCTATAAAACTAAACCAAACAAACAGAAGTGAAACGTTACTTCCAGTTAGGCCAGGTGTAAAGGATTAAACGATAACCTGGGCAGTGGGGACAAGCAATCACACCACTGCCCACCAGTTTAAAGATGTTAACGTTCAGCTGGACACTACTTTAACAAGGATAAATGGCTGTGACAAAGGGGGAAAGACTCTCTTATCCCACCTCAGTATTACTATCAAGTGACCAACTGTATTAACGATGTTAATTACTAATGTAATTGGTAGTTTCGCCGCCACCACCTCAATATATGTCTGAGGAAAACATAAGTGTGAATGTGAAATTGGTAAAGTTT